TTATTTCTAAAGCGCTTTTCATACATAAGATGCAACACAAAGTGCTTTACAGTTTGGTTAAAAACAATCCCGCCGACCCAAGACCCCTCCCCCAGACCACCCAACAGACCCACCCCAAACCACAGACAAACACACACACACGCGCTCATGAACACTCATACACACACACACACACACACACACACACACCAGTAAAACAATAAAAACATGATGAGAGACTTGGCAGGGTTCAGATGCAACCAGCTGAAAAAGCGTCATCCAAGGAGCCGTCTGCACCAGGAGCAGAGAGCCGCCCGTAGCCACAGGGGACGACACAGGACCCAGAGGAGACATGAAACCGAGGCCCCAGGCCCCCACCAGGCCCAAGAGTCCGACCCCCGCAGCCACACCGACCACTGCTCCCGGTGCAGAGGGCTCCTCCAGAGGAAACACTGGGTACACTAAAAACAATACAATAAGTAAAACACTAAAATGTGAGACTAAAAGGAACACACAATACATGAATAATAGCAATAGCAATATAATAAATAATAAATAATAAAAGATAAATAGAATGGAATAATAAAAACTAATCAAAAGCTACTCTGAAAAGGTGCGTCTTGAGCCTACTTTTAAAAATATGAACGTTCTCTGCGGCCCTGAGCTCCTCCGGCAGACTGTTCCAGAGACGGGGGCCGTAGTGCTGGAAAGATGCCTCGCCGTGAGTGTGTGTCCTGACTTTGGGGATGGTTAGGAGTCTGCTGCCGGAGGAGCGCAGGGGCCGGGAAGGTTCATAGGATAAAAGCAAATCTGAAAGATAAGAAGGCCCAAGACCATTAAGACATTTAAAAACCATTAAAAGAACTTTAAAATCGATTCTGAAACACACGGGGAGCCAATGCAGCGATTTTAAAACCGGTGTAATGTGGTCCCGCCCCCTGGTCTTAGTCAGGACACGTGCGGCCGAGTTTTGGAGTAATTGAAGACTTGCAATATTCTTTTTGGGAAGACCAGAGAGCAGGGCATTACAATAGTCAATGCGACTGGTGATAAAAGCATGCATCAGCGTCTCCGTGTTGCCCCGAGAGAGAATGGGGCGGACTCTGGCGATGTTCTTTAGATGATAAAAACCTATTTTTGTGATACTCTTGATGTGAGGAATAAAAGTCAGCTCAGAGTCAAAGATTACGCCCAGATTTTTCACTTGTGATGATGGATTAAAAGAGTGTGATTGGAGTTTTGATAAAAGTTTCTCTCTCTGGGCCTCAGGACCGATGACTAAAACCTCAGTTTTGTCCTGGTTAAGCTGGAGAAAGTTTTCTGCCATCCAGGATTTCAGGTCTAAAATGCAGTTAAAAAGAGCATCCATTGGCCTGGTGTCATCAGGAGACATGGAGATGTACAGCTGTGTATCATCTGCATAACTGTGGAAGTTAATTCCATGTCTCCTGATGACACCGCCAAGAGGGAGCATGTACAGGTTAAAAAGAACTGGACCTAAAATGGAACCCTGGGGCACACCACATGTGATTTTATGGACCTGAGAGGAGCAGGTATCCAAACTTACCATGAAGGATCTGTCTGTTAAATAAGAAGTGAACCATTTGTGGACAGCACCAGAGAGGCCGAGGTGTTGTAGGCGGGATAAAAGAATGGTGTGGTCTACTGTATCAAAGGCAGTGCTAAGATCCAGTAGAACCAACACGGTCACCTTTTTAGAATCATAACTTAGTCTAAAATCATTTAAAATCTTTAAAAGAGCAGTCTCTGTGCTGTGGTTCACCCTAAAACCTGATTGAAATTTCTCTAAAATTTGCTGCTGATCTAAAAAGGCATTGAGCTGGGTAAAAACAAGTTTTTCTAAAATTTTGCTTAAAAATGGCAGGTTGGATACCGGTCTGTAGTTGTTAAAGTCATTAAAATCTAAATTGCTCTTCTTCAGAAGGGGCCTCACCACAGCCGCTTTGAAGGCTGCAGGAAAGACCCCAGTCTGAAGAGAGCAATTCATCAGGTTTAAAAGCTCCTCTCTAAAAGATTCATAAAATGACTTAAAAAATGGAGTGGGGACTGGATCTAAAAGACATGTGGTGGGCCTCACTGAGGAGAAAACTTTATCAAGCATCTCAGCATCAACCAGGACAAAACTGTCCAGTGTTTCCTCTGGTGAAGACAAACAATCAGATGTGTTAAAAACAGTAGTGCGGTTGGATAAAATGTTACATCTGATTGTATTTATCTTCCCCGTGAAGTGGACTGCAAAATCCTCACAGAGGGAGTCTGTGGGGGTTAAAAGAGACATGCTAAAATCAGGGTTTAAAATGGTGTCGATGGTTGAAAAAAGGATTTTTGGATTATTTTTGTTCTGGCTGATTAGATTTGCAAAGTATTTGTTCTTATGATTTCTAATTGTGTAATTGTATGCTTTTTGATTGTTTTTATATATTTCGTAGTTGATTGTTGTTTTATTTTTCCTCCATCTTCGTTCTGCCGCCCTGCACTCTTGTTTCATTTTGCGTACTTCTTCATTTCTCCATGGGGGTGCAGATTTTGTTTTTATGATTTTTGTTTTTAAAGGAGCCACCTGATCCAACGCAGAACTAAGTCTACTGTTAAAATCATTTGCTATAAAATCACAGGGGGCAGGTAAAACCAAGTGGGGAGTGTTGTTTAGGATGTCGATAAAATTTGCAGCCACTTCAGGGGTTGCATCTATTGTTGATGCATTTATCTATTTCTCTATTGTGACTCTAAAGCTTGGTTGCAGCTTGAGCCAAGGCATATTTCTAATTTGTGACTTCTGTCACTTTTAATATCTCTAAAATAATTCTGATTCTAATATTTTAGCTGCTCTCAGAAGGATAACATTGTATAGTACTATTTTACTCTTATGTGGAATTGTGTTTTATGAAAAACAAAGGAAACACATGGTCACACATTCACGTGTGACCATCAGGATCGATAAACAGCAACATAACATCATAACTCAATACTTAAACTCAAACTCGGTACTTCACTCGGTACTTCAAAAACTCAGAACTCGGAATACTTCAAAAACTCAGAAAACTCATAAAACATTTTCAGATCTTTCATAAAACTTGTCAACAATCTTCAGTAAAATACCAAACTTCATCAGTCGATGGTTCTCAGATATTGCTTTGAAAACAGTCTCTCCCACTTCTCTGTGTTGGTTTCTTCAGGCTACATTTGTTGTGTCGAGCCATGAATTCTTCTGTGACGTGTCTTTCAATCACACGTTTCCAGTGTCCAGATTCAGAAATCCAATTCAGTCCAAATTATGTCCAAATTCAGAAATCCAATTGTTCCAAATTATGTCCAAATTCAGAAATCCAATTGTTCCAAATGGTGTCCATGCAAAAGAGGACGATGGTGTTGTCCATGTCTCAGCAGCTCACAGCAGGCCTGAGTGGAATCAGGAGCTGTGCAGATTGTCCAAGTGTGCTGATCCAGATGCATGGTTTCTCTTGAGGTTTTTAAGTTTTGGCTTGGTAGAGACAGCACGAACAACACGAACACAGAATGCAAGTGTATTATACAGAGCGGAGGCATGGAGACCTCCAATCAGCAGCTGCCACGGTGCCAGCAGAGATAGTCAAAACATGAAGTGGAAAAGTACAGGCTTCTGCACATTGATAGAATGATGAGTTTAACTTTAACAAAAGTTGCTTAAAAGTGTTATGAAATCTCACACACGCCAAAAACAAACTAAAACACAAAAACTCCTTTTTTCTGTATGTAATTTAAACCGTGATCATTGAAATATTGTTGCTTCTTTACTTTTGTCATTTATCAAGCCTGGAATTGGTTAATTACAAAACATTTTGTGACAAAAGGCCTCCTTAACACGTTTCCCTTTTTAAAAATTGCTTTTATTTTTACACCATGGTTTCACTAAGGATCCAACACTTTTCTCTGGCTAGCAAGGGGCCTCTACCCCGGTAATTACTCAAAAAAGGGCCTCTACCCTGTAATTACTCTTTCTCTGCCCTGACTACTTCAAAGGACAGGGACCCCGATACGTCAAGGGGTTCTTTTTTTCCTATAGGGACTGGTTACCCACACAGCTAACCTGTTTTCTACAACATAAGACATGACAAAGACGTGTGTGGTGTTGTAGTATTGACCAGGCAGAGACGTGTAGTTGCTTCAGTTCGTCCTTTACTTCTCTTCAGCATTCAAAATCTCAACCGTCAGTATTACCTCGCACGTGAGCTCCCTCTGGTGGTTACATACAATATAGTAGGCAACACAACATTTCCCCTTTTCTGAAACATTTGCTTATTACAAATGGAACATTGGTACTGTATGCAAACAGCAAAATAAAAGTATATTACCAACGGTAAGATGTATTTCTAACTACATTTACATCAGTTGTAGTACAGCAGGGACAGCGCTCCCGGAGGTATCCTGCGCAAAGTTAGGGCACTAGAGAGTTCCCCCGGGGGCTTCCCGCAGTTGTCCTGCGTGACACCGGGTGGCCCCGCGCTGTTTTAGAGCGTGGGGGAAGCTCCCCGAGGTCTGCGCACAGCTCTCCACCAAACATGCGTCGTGAGGACACTGTGGAGTTTCTGTGGTCTCAGCTTTTGCTCCGCGCCGCTCTGGGGGTATGGGCAGCAGGTCGGACCGTAGAGGAGGGACGAGCACCTGGGGGACAGGTGGAAAACAGCCGCAACCGGGGAACGTGAGGTGAGGGACGGGGTTAGAGCATGATGAGGGGTGAGGACCGGATGATGGGATCCCAAAGAGCAGTGGCTTGGAGTGTGGTACGTGAGCTGTGAGTGTCTGGTACGGAGAGGGTATTGTGCTGTGAGTGCGTGAATGAGATGTCCTTGAAATGTTCCATGAGAGTTTTCTTTATGTATGAGTTTGTGGATAGTTGTGTATCAACTGCGTTGATGTTCCTCGGGGGTCCATTGCGTTTACTGGTTTGGATGGAAGGTATTGAAGCAAGTTGTGATTTGTAGATTTGTCTGTAGAGTTCTCGGGGGGGAGCGGCGGTGTCCATGGTGGCGTATGTGGGCAGGCTGGTTAACGCGGTAACTGTTAAAAAGTATGATATACTGTCCAGTTAAATGTGACCAGTATTATGTTGTGGCAAACCTGTTAAAATCCGCTTATTCCATCAGTTGTTACGAATAATTACAGTATTAAAAGGCTTAGTTTTAAAAAATAAATCCAATAAAGTGTGCAAGTTCTTAATGTGTGCAGTTTCAAAAAGTTGTGCAGTTCAAAAAAGGCGCCAAACATAATACAGTAAGTTAGTGGTCTAATAAAGTCTTTTACAGTAACTATCCAATCGTTTGTAGCCAGTTTTCCGGCGTGTGAAATATTTGCAGCTTGAAAGCATCTGATCACTGTTGCAATAGTCCTGCTGGAGTTCAGCAAGAAATTGATACATAAGTCTGTGTGGAAGTCACTTTTTTCACTCTACTTTAAACTGTTGTCTGTAAAGTTCTAATATAATTTGTACATGTTGACCTATCCATATGGGATATATTTTAAAGGAAGTTTGAAAAATTAAAAATATCACATTCTAGTGTCTTTTAATGGATTCTCAGGAGTTTGTGACTCAAAAAATATTGCAAAAAGTCATTTTCCTGGCATTTTGCATAAAATGAGTGACAACAGCGCTGTCAGGAGTATTGGGCCAGAAGACCAAGGCCAATTATTGTAAGAAGCAATGTTCTGACTTAACAACCAAACATGTTTAAAAGGGGAAATTAGTATGAAATGTCTTCTCTTCTGGCTTTGTAAAAATGTTACAAATCAAAAAAATACTTTCTTAAAAATTTGGTCATGATATTGAAGTTTGCTACTTAGAGGGACATGGCATAATGGTGACTTCAATGGCGTTATCCATGTTGGGATTTTCTGGATCCACAGGACTCCACCAGTAGGTGTGGGGTTTTATATATGTTCTCTGATAGATGTAGTCTTGGAAACTAGGCTTAAGGCTTGTCTTCAAAACTGATTGTAACCTATATAATTAAGGATTAATGGCACTTAAGATGGACTTAAAACTGGTTCCGGGACCAACAGTATTTACACCAAAGTGGGCCAATGACAAAGCTTCTCTGTTGTATAAGTATTGACACGCACTTCTTTTGTATAGTGTGTATTTATATTATATGTGTTTGTGTTACACAAAATATTTGTGGTTTGACGAAGATGCTTTATACAGTGTTTTTCAACCTTTTGTGAGCAAGGCACACTTTTCACTGAATAAAAATTTGCGGCACCCTCCCGGAGAAAATGTCAAAATGTATTACATTACTAATTTAAAAATATATCTTGTCATACTCTGTGTGATATATAAAGTATATCTTATCTTATCTTATAATGTATACTGTATTCCTCTGTTAGCCTATATTACAATTATACAGTTATTCTCATCAAAATGCTTAAGTCCAGGGCCTAGACATTAATCTTTATTTCAAATTTCTCTACTCAAATACACACATATATATTTAAAACCAATATTCACTAAATATATTAAAAAACAACAAAAATAAAAAATAAAAAGAAATCCAATCTCTGCCTACGTCAAATAATAACTACACAAAAAGACATGCATTGTTAGTGCATGGGAAAAAATTTAGGTATCGAGCTTTAATTTCAGGAGTTTTGATGAGGGACACGGGAGGTCCTGAACGCGAGTCCATGGTTCTGTCCGGTTGCGCATGTCTGTGGTTCTGTCCACTCGACTATGGTTGCGCTCGGTACCTGTTAAGAAGTTGCGTTCAAGAGAGCTGTTTGTTCAAAAATAGGTACATTTCATAGTTAAAACCACTACAAACGCGGCCCAGCTGCCCCGGGGCAGTGGCGGGAGGGATGTTAATTCCTGTTCAGAAACGGCCCTTAATTATTTTTCAAAAAACTGTCTCTATCACTTTCACTTCTCACTCGCCACAAAGCTCTTGTCTCGCTCCCTCCACCTGTGCGGTTCAAGGGGGCCGAATACTTTCGCAAGGCACTGTATTCTCTTCATTGATCAATTCTCTTGACCAATGAAATGCATCAAGATACTCTACCTGTGATGAGAATGATCAGCAGATCCGCGAATTCCGACTTTTTCTCACTGAAAATATCATTTCTGTGAAATGTGTGACCGCGGGCTGTTTGCGTTACGGACTCGAACGGGATTAACATCCTTCGTTCTGACCTCGGGGGCAACTGTGGCGGCTATGACACAGCTCAGCGAAAGCGTAGCCTTAACGTGGTCATGTACCGAGCGCAGAAAACAGAATATGATCATAAACACACACACACACACCCAGTTGTTTGGTATGAATGATAAAAGTGTCCTTTTTTTTAGGTGAATTTTGAAGGCGATGGGTTTGAACCGGTGGTGAAATCTCTGTTCGGTGAAAAAGGTTTAGTTCCGGATACATTTTTCAAACTGTTGGACTGGAGCCGGGAACAGATCTCCAGCCTCAGGCCCGGACACGGACGGATGAAGAGACAGGTGAATAATCACTTTTTAATCTAACAATTTGTTTATTTTTTCAGAACATGAGTACATGAACACACAGAGGCTCAGGGCTAAAACTTCAAACATAAAAAAAAAACAATACAACTGCTGTCAAAACACAATCAAAACACAATCTAAAAGGAAAATGACTCACACGGCTCTTTCTTACAGGCATGCTAAAAATACATTCAAAAACAGCATGTAGTGATCTGTTTTGTTAAAGGCAAATTAGGAGGATTTTACAGGCAGTGAAAAGTGCTGAGTAGAGTCTGAGCGGGACGCTCGTTCTCCTCCGCTCACAGAACGAGCAGCGAACAGCCTGCGTCCTCTAGCCTCTACAGCGCTGCTAAAAACTAAGGCTTCGGCTTCGAAATTTGAATATAATTCTAAAATAAAATGTATTCAATAACTGCAAATAAAATAGTTAGCTCCCAAAGGTTCCACCAGGACGTGCTAGGCAGGTAACAGCTAAGCTAGCTAGATCCCTGGAACTACATGTTAATGGTAACTTCCGGGTTTTTCGCGATCGCTTTTTGTTACATTAAAAAAGTAATTTGGTCATGAAAACAATAACAAGAAATTCTGAAAAAGTCCGCGCATGTGTGTTAAGGATGTATATGTATATTGCATTGTCCGATTAACATTTAATGGTGTTGATTGTTAGATATGTAGTTGTTTATTAAGCGTGGCTAGCTCGGCTAGTAATGGCAGTATTTTACTCACCTGAATTAGAAACAGAGATTGCATTGTCAAAGGGCAGCGGCCATTATTGATTTGAGAGTTCTGTTATCAAGAAAAAATGATCGGTTGAATTACATACAAGTCAATGGAGTTTTCTACTGCTGCTGTGAGGAGCTGTATAAAAAATCATAATTAAATACTCGAATATATTCTAATGTTTTAATGAATAAATTTGAATGCGAAACTAGCGGTATTCTTTTACCTATATATGGTGTTAGCAGTGCGTTGCTTTAGTGCCATTTCATCAGTGATAGTTGTACAGCTTACAAGAAGTTGTGCTAATGCTAATGTTAGCATAAATGTCAGATCGCAAATTGAGCTAGATGGCTCTGTGTTATGAGAGCGTAGGGGAAATGAGAAGCCATTGAGCGAGTTGGGGGGCAGTGCTAAACATTTAAACCTTGCAGAAACGGGTATAGCGCCTTTAAGGAATTTAGAAAAAATGCACATGTGCAACGCTCTACCTGCTCCCGAGGGAGGGACCGCCTACTTAACGAGTGCGTACATGTTAATGCTGTAATTTACACTCAATATAGGGCTGGGCGATATACCTGATCAGTCGATAACGATATATATTGATTGTTTTTTATTTATTTTTTAAAACCTAAATAAATACATTAGTCGTGTCGGCTAACACACGTTAGCAGCCTTGTTTACAGTCACGGGGAGTGAGGCTGGAGGCAAATGTTCACAAGCAGTCTCCCCCATAGTTAGTCCTAGTTTAATCCTGGTTATTCCTGGTTTAGCTCCTGTTTTGGCTGTTTTCGAGTGTCTTCTGTCCCCTTGACGGCTCCAGAAAAGGTTAATCTCTTGCTTTTGCCGAATGCATTGAGTCTCTGCCTCTCCCGCGCCGTTCCTCGCACGGACTATTGACACGGCCTGAAACACGATCTTTAGATCCATGGCTATTATAATAGATCCATGATCCATGGACGCTACGCATGGTGCGCTTGTTGTTTTTGCATTTCCCAGAATGTTTTGCGGTATGTGGTCGGCTGTGATAGGTCGAGAAGCCTTTGCCTACATTCCCCAGAATGCCTCGCGCGTATGACTCGGCTTTACTTCCTGTGTTTTCTAACGGAGTGAAGTGAAACGAACATTCTATCGACCCAGTTTTCTATTGATATCAAACACGTGTCTATTGCAATATATATTGTTATAGTTTTATTGCCCAGCCCTACATTCCAATGTCAGTACATAAACCCAGATTTCCTCGTGTATGCTCTGTTTACATGTCACTGTCGGCATCGCTCACACAAGCTCACTTTCCAAGAAGATTTTCACTTTTTTCCACTATGTCAGACAATATAGAGGTAGATAACAAGCACTTACAATGGCCTTACGTCAGAATGATTGACAATTATGAGGACCAATAATCTTGATAATCCTCCTATATACCTTCAAAAAACTAAAATGTTAGGCACCCCACCTTTATTCAGTTCTGTTTTTGACTATTTAATATCATCTTCCCTCCATCCAATCCAATCCACTTTATGTATATATCCATTCATTTCTTCTTCATCATCATTTTCCGGGTTGTGGCGGCAGCTGTCTAAGGAGAGATGGCCTTTCTTCTCCTCCAGCTCATCTGGTGGAATCCTGGCTATGTCTCCCATGCCAGCTGAGTGACTCCAAGGTTCCTGTCCTGTGATTCCAGTTCCTAAAATGTTGCAGAGCAAGGAACCAGCTCACTACAGACCAGTAGCGCCGACTTCCCGCCTGTTTGTTCATCCTTGCCCTTCTCCGCTCCGTGGTCAGCCCCACCCTTGCCAGGAGTCCACCGGGAGCGCTGTGGGGGTCATGTTTTTGACTACTCCATTCTTTCAACACCATCAGACCGGCACTGCTGCGGAGGAAGATGGTGGATGCTGGAGTGGACAGTCACCTCACTGCACGGACCATAAACTACTTCTCGGACCGACCACAGCACAACTTTTGAGTCTGAGTTGATAGTCTACAGTACTGGGTCCCCTTAGGGCACTGTCCTCTCCATCTACACTTTGGACTTCACATAGAACACATACAGCTGCCACCTGCAGAAGTTCTCCGACAACTCCCTATTGTAGGCTGTGTGTCTGAGGGGTACCAAGTGGAGTACCGATCAGTTATCATGGATTTTGTCGACAGGTGTGAGCACAGAGATGGTAATCGCCTACAATCCCACACACAGCTGAACATCCAGGGCGAGGACAATGAGCTGGTATACGGCTTCAAGTACCTGGGTGTTTTCATTAACAATAAACTGGACTGGTCCCTGGACGCCCTGTACAAGAAGGGCCAAAGTCTCCTCCACCTTCTGAGGAGGCTGAGGTCCTTCGGAGTGAACAGGCCTCTGTTCAGGACTTTTTATGGCTCTGTGGTAGCCTCTGCCATACACTACGCTGTCCCGGGCAGCACAGAGCGGGGCAGGAATAGACTGAACAAGCTGGTCAGGAGGCTCTGCTTTGGGCTGCCTCCTGGACTCCATGGAGGAGGTGAGGGATAGGAGGGTGTTATCCAAACTCACTTCCATCATGAACAAAACCTCAAATCACCTGCACAGGTGACTGTAGAGGGGCTGAGGAGCTCTTTCAGTGGAAGACTGAAGCACCCTCAGTGCAAGAAGGAGCGCTACTGCAGGTGCATCCCCACCACTGTCAAACTAGGACTGAAAAACTCTCAGTTATAGTCACTCATAATTTGTGTTGTACATAATATACCGTGCACAGAAGAAAATACATTTTAACCTTTTAACTTGTTTGCACACTTCCTATCTTTTTGCACACCATGAGTGATTCTATTGAGGCACGTGTACATTTCACGTGTACATTTCTCCAGTGTGAGATCAATAAAGTTTATCTTATCTTAAAGTTTTTAAAAGTAGCTTTGAATTCAAAATACATGAACACAAATAATATTAATAGTCAATAAATAAGATCAAAGAATCCTAAATATCTATACAACAAAATACAAATCCAAATAGATTTTGCATCATAAAGACAATATAGAGGACGATATAACTCAGTGTTACAGGGCCTTGCGAAAGTATTCGGCCCCCTTGAACCTTTCAACATTTCGCCACATTTCAGGCTTCAAACATAAAGATATAACATTTAAATTTTTTGTCATGAATCAACAACAAGTGGGACACAATCGTGAAGTGGAACAAAATGTATTGAATAATTTAAACTTTTTTAACAAATAAAAAACTGAAAAGTGCAGCGTGCAATATTATTCGGCCCCTTTACTTTCAGTGCAGCAAACTCAGTCCAGAAGTTCAGTGAGGATCTTTGAATGATCCAATGTTGTCCTAAATGACTGATGATGATAAATAGAATGAACCTGTGTGTAATCAAGTCTCCGTATAAATGCACCTGCTCTTTGATAGTCTCAGGGTTCCGTTTAAAGAGCAGAGAGAACCATGAAGACAAAGGAACACACCAGGCAGGTCCGAGATACTGTTGTGGAGAAGTTTAAAGCCGGATTTGGATACAAAAAGATTTCCCAAGCTTTAAACATCTCAAGGAGCAGTGTGCAAGCAATTATATTGAAATGGAAGGAGTATCAGACCACTGCAAATCTACCAAGACCCGGCCGTCCCTCCAAACTTTCATCTCAAACAGGGAGAAGACTGATCAGAGATGCAGCCAAGAGGCCCATGATCACTCTGGATGAACTGCAGATAACTACAGTTGAGGTGGGAGAGTCTGTCCATAGGACAACAATCAGTTGTGCACTGCACAAATCTGGCCTTTATGGAAGAGTGGCAAGAAGAAAGCCATTTCTCAAAGATATCCATAAAAAGTCTCGTTTAAAGTTTGCCACAAGCCACCTGGGAGACACACCAAACATGTGGAAGAAGGTGCTTTTTTGGCCATAATGCAAAACGATATGTTTGGCGTAAAAGCAACACAGCTCATCACCTTGAACACACCATCTCCACTGTCAAACATGGTGGTGGCAGCATCATGCTTTGGGTCTGCTTTTCTTCAGCAGGGACAGGGAAGATGGCTAAAATTGATGGGAAGATGGATGGAGCCAAATACAGGACCATTCTGGAAGAAAACCTGTTGGAGTCTGCAAAAGACCTGAGCCTGGGACGGAGATTTATCTTCCAACAGGACAATGATCCAAAACATAAAGCCAAATCTACAATGGAATGGTTCACAAATAGACGTATCCAGGTGTTAGAATGGCCAAGTCAAAGTCCAGACCTGAATCCAATCGAGAATCTGTGGAAAGAGCTGAAGACTGCTGTTCACAAACGCTCTCCA